GAACAACAACAAGACAACTACATTTTGGCTTTTCCCTCCATGAGATGAGCCCAGTGCATTGGACCGATGGATAAGAGAACTGAGCTGGCCCAAAAAGCGCTTGGGCGCTCTACGTACGATGTAGAAGACTCCATCAGATACATATCGATTTCTTTCTGATGGATAAATAATTTCTTTCTGATGGATCAAGAATAGATAGTTGTCTCATCAATAGATAGAAATAGGCTCAAAGACCTTATTATTGATTCCCTCTCTATTCTCTATCTATTTCTACTCTTTAGATCTATCAGAACAGATCAATCTATCAATCCGATTTGAAAATAGCACGTTCATCTCGCTTTTCGTTCATTTTCGCCACGCCAACATGGCCGCCATAATAAGAAGAAGCAGGCGAAGCAGCTAGAAGCGCTCGCTTCTAGCCCTTTGATTTTGATTTACGAATGAATTTGGGAAAGCCAACAGAAAGATTCGATTCAGACTTCGTGGAGCCGGTGCTGCTGTTGCCTGCGCGTAGAGCCGTCCCCCACTCCCGTCCCGGGGCGCTAAGGGACTGAAGGGAACAGACGGCAGTGTTTTGCTGACGCCTCGAATCAAGCTTTTGTTGCGACATGCTATGTTTTCTCCCCCATTGCTAGTAGGTTGATGGGTCGCACGCCCGACACACATGTTTTGGCCTTGTGTGTCCATAACTCAAAATAGGTGACCTAACGGCCGCCGCCCGACTAAACATACCAATAGTCACCAGATTCATATGGGCTACTGAGGAGTAAGCAATGATCTTCTTTAGATCGATCTGTCTTGAAGTGGTCAAGGAAGTATATATTATAGCAATCGCGCTTAAAGTATAAATGAAAGGAGTAGAACAAAGTGTCGCTTCGGGAAACATGGGTATTGAAAATCTTAAAAACCCGTGGGTTCCAAATTTTAAAGGAATTCCTGCCAAGATGACGGATCCTGCCGTAGGTGCCTCTACATGAGCTTCAGGTAACCAAATATGAACTGGTACCATAGGCACTTTGACGGCGAAAGAGGCGAAAGAAGCAATCCATAGAAAGATTTGGCGCCGCTCACTAAATTCTGTGGTTAATGATATTTGTAAATCGGTGGTTCCTGTTTGGAAAAGAATCAACAGAATAGCTAATAGCATAAAAAGAGATCCAAGTAAAGTATAAAGGAAAAACTGATATGCTGCCTTGATCTTTCTTTGTCTCGAACCCCATACTCCTATAATAATGGTAGAGTAAGGGGTGGCCCCAAAGCGGAATTGACCGGGGGTGCTTGGTCGAAGCTCCAGTAGGTAGCCACTCCCTTCTCAGGGAACCGTACGTGAGACTTCCGCATCATACGGCTCCGTCCCGAGCTTCCGTCGTCGGCCCTTGTCATTAGATCACTATCTATGCATGTATTTTTAGTCTGGACTCTCTAATCTTTTACTTTTCGGGTGGTGGCGAACTATGCAGCTTTCGTTGCGGGAGATGCCCCCGCCCGTAGGGCCCGGCCTGCTTCTCGCCCGAAAGAACCGCTCACTAGCTAGCCGGACTAGTGGGGCGCCCTATCTGGAGACATACTGAAAACCATACCTTTCGAACCGAACGCAACGCCCGTCTTCAAAATCTAAAGATAAATGGGCTTGTTAAGAAGAAAGATGGAGTTCGGCCTGTAGAGCACATGTAACGCACAGTCGGGTTGCTCACGCAGCGGATCTCTCTTTCTTATAGTACGACAGAAGGAGAGATGTGAAAGTAATAGCCCCTTACCTTATGGTATGGCCGCTACCCGACTTACGGCCTTTACGCTACTACTACTGTGATGTGAGCGGTTCTTTCGGGTTTGATCTTTCCCAATTATCCTGGCCGGAACTTGTACGCAGCACTTATACGGAGGTGCATGCATAAAGGTTTGGAACTATTTTTTTATTCTGAGAATCTGAAGGGCAGGACCCTATTCTTGAACCCTCTGCCGAGCTTAAACCTGCCCGCATTTCCTTTTGATTTGCCGGGGGCCAAAGAAATGTCTCCACCAGCTGTCAACAGTCTTTCTTCGGAATTCTACTGAACGGGTCGATCCTCTACTCCCCTTTGTTTTAGCAACTTATCCTAAGGTCTCCTCTCCTTTCAGTCGAGTGACAAAAGTACCTCGCCAAGAGCTATCCGGCGACGACAGAGGAACCAACCCGCTTGCTGTGGCGGGGCGGCTTTTTTGTTTCACAATAAGACCTGGACGATTATCCCTAACCTCGGTAGCTTACGAGTTTACGTCCATCCCTGGTCGGGTACAGTTTCCTTTTTATTTCTCCCTTGTAGCCGTTACCTGAATTCGCGCAAGTGTGTCCACACCCCCCAAACAGACTTGACGAGGAATCCATTCTCGCGAACAAACACAACCCCTACACACACCTAGGAGCACCCCTTCCTGCATATCCATACAAGACCCGAGTAGGCGGGTCGAGGTCCTACGAGGTACCCACTATACTCGGAGTACCCTCCCAAAAGGAAAAAGATGTGTTTGTCAGGTTCGGTTCTTCTTAGTTGGATTGGGCGGGTTCGACCAGAAATGCTATGCTTACACACAAGACTACCCCTCTTCCCGAAAGCTTCGCGGGGACTACTTTACGACGACGGACGACCGCCCGTAGGGGGTTTACTGCACAAGGCCCCTGCAGAGGAAAAGCTTTCTCCCAGCGAATATAAGATACTCCGCTCCGCACAACATAGGGATTGGCACGCTTTCGGGAAAAACATAGAATAGTAGAAGATCTAGCATGCGGAACACGGCGATCATTAGAAATTCACGAATTAAAAATGCTGTAATATACTCTTTCCCATAACTTCTCATACCAGACCAACCCACTGAAATGCAAATAGGGATCAGAAATGTGGTCAATATCACGAAGAATAAAGAGATACCGTCTATACCCAAATAAAAATTGATGTTTTCATAAGGAAGCCATCGAAGGCTTTCCACAAATTGAGATTTGGCCGTAGAAGAGTCGAATTGTATCCGAGGAACAGGAGAATACAAAAAAGTAATAAGAGAGGCACACAGACCAATTAATCGTATCGGTCGTATTCTTGAATTTGGAATGAAAAGAAGAGTAATGCTTCCTAGCACAGGACACAGAATAAGACCACTTAGATTAGAATAGCATTCACAGAAATGTTCTAACATAGAGTAGAATCGAACATTGAAGAGATTTGTTGACAACAGTCAAAAGATGGGCGCTAAATTCCAATACAATAAGGGTCTATCAGTTCAAGTCAGCTGAACACCGTGATTTATGAGTGGGTAGGTGGGTTAGGCGCACCTCTCGCCCACTAAGAAGTAATGAGGCTAGTCTCCCCCTGGAAGTAGTGGTGCCCCCTTCCCGTGTATACGCCTTTATTTATATTCTTTCTATTTTTGCATTCTTTATCCGATGGATAATCTTTCTAAATAAATCTCTCGGGCAAAACGCAATTCGTCGATTTCAATCCCAAGGTGCACCTTGCCTTTTCAGGTAGCTTTGTTACGCCTATTCAGCTATTGGTGCATTGGTCATAGCCGAAATTCGTCGAAGAAAATGAAGTTTTGTCTTTCTTTCAATCCAAATAAGAGAACAAAGAAACCATTCAAAAATAAATCCAGGATGACAGCTTTCAAAGAGTAAGAGACAGGGAGGGGGAGGCTTTCGAAACCAAACGAGACTAGAAGGAACATGGGAATTAGCACCATTCCTATGAGTGTTTTTGTCTCGAAGAGCCAACAAAGGGAGGCGCGGCAACCCTCATCGATGAATTAATGAGTTTCTTCGCCCTCTTTCTCTATCTCGGTTTAGCATCATCATATATCGATCCGTATAAAATTTTGATTGGTTGTAGCGCGGGAGCAGCTACTCCATGCTGTGGCTCTGTGGGGGTGGGGGCAGCCTAAGCCTGATAGAGGCAGAAGCCGGGGCCACCGGAGCTATCTGCGTCGAGTGTGTCGATTGAAAGAGGAGGGGAGACAACTCAAATGCCAGCGCAAAAATCGAAAGAGTCGTGCCGTTCAAAGTGGAATTCTTCTAAGATCCATCTATTGCTCGATTTTGCATGCTCTGCTCCCCCCAAGAGAGACTTGTTCTCAAAATGAAGGAAAAGGTAAATCGACGGTTGGTTGTTGACCAACGGAAAGGCATGGGAGTTGTAATGTAAAAAAATAAGAATAAATGGGATTTGATCATTCAGCGCGGTGCAGCCCATATAAGGTAAGGAGCTTTAGCTGTTCACGTTACAGCTACTTCGTTGGCTCTTACTATACTACGATATTTTAATTGATCGTAGCTAATTCTGATTCCATTGCGAAACGAAAACCGCTCCTTCTCTGTAACAACTGATTCTACACAAGAGCAAAAGAGCCTTTTTCTTCCTAAGGATCTATTCATTTTTCCATTAACAGTCGAACCGACCGGAGAGAGATTGCTTTTATCACAGACCAGAAAGCCAGGAATTGCTTCCATCACAGACCTTCTCTGGTCACCAGCCTCCTCGCCTCTTTTGCATTAACATATTCCCTCGTACCTGACTTCGTTAGACGATCCTACTTAGGGGCTTGAAAGCAGAAAACAGAGTAAGGAATAGATGCTGCTAGGGCTCATACGAAGAAGCCAACTCGGTAAAGCTAGTTTACGGTTCCTTTTCTTGCTTGACGGTACGCTTTTAACCAAGCCTAATCCATATAAGAAAAGCAAACAACTATGAAAACAGGGCAAGAAGATGCAGACGACGGTACGCAATGAGACTGGAGTACCTGGCAGGGGGCCTAAACAGACAGTAAGGGGGGTGGGTCTAGGAGAAGAGAGAAGAACGAGGGCAAGCATAAGAAGCAGTCATTGAAAAAAATCAGAAAAGAAGGAGCTGATCCGATGGATGAAGATAATGATCAACGGAAACTATCGGCTATGAAGCTAGATGGCATAGAAGAAGGTTATGCCAATATGGATGGCTTGCCTGGAAACTAGCCATGTATGTACTGGCTTCCGCACTACTACTTGGTCGGATCAATCTCACTCTCGAAATTGGAAATAATCAACTCAAAATGTGAGGGAAGCACTAAGCATAACATTTGAATGAGGGGCCCTCATCAAAATGAATTAATGAGTTTCTTCGCCCTCCGAAGGACTCGTTTTCAGCTCCTTACTTACCCTTATATATTAAAAAAAAGTCAAAAAATAAAATGATTACACAGCCCACTTCGCTCCGCTGCTTTGCTCGCTCCGACGATTCTACATACCGGCCGAAAGAGACTGAGCCCGGGCGAAGCCAATCACATTGAGTTGTAGATTGACATAGTTAACCTTCAGTGCACTTATATATAATATATAGTCAGAGTTGAAGCTGAGCGTTCACCTTAGCGGCACCTCTGACCTCAGATGCATGTGTTAAGCATATAACTAGCGAGCGAACCATACTTCGGATATCGGCTCGGAGCAAGGCCAGTCGCTGGATTAAGACTAACAGGACCATTCCTTATGAAAGACCCAGCAAGAGACGTCACTACCTACCTACCTAGGCCTCAGGATAAGCTCCGGTGTTGAGGCCCGAAGACTGGAAATTCAACCCTAATAACAAAGTTTCTCTCCAACCAGTCGAGTTACTACGTTCCTTGCTTCACTTCAGTAAATTAATTAACACCGTATTTGATTCCATCTTGTTTTTCTGTGCTAGTTACTATCTGTAGTAGTGGACTAACTGGGCTGGGCACAACTCATTTGAAAAGGAATGTCAAAGCATTGCGGATTCTTCCTTCGACGTCTTATTGCCCTTGATCTTAAAAGAGCTTACTTACCTATACCTTTTATATCTTCCGCTCTCACGGATATTCGCCAGCTTTGTGCCTCTGGTGGCCCTTGACTGACCCGTCTCGTATCGTTTAGATAGTAAGTCCATGGGTTCTACAATCTTTTGTTAACCTTTAGCTGCGGGCTCCACGGAGAAAGTTGTCGGATAGCAGCGATTCCTATTGCTATTCTATGGTCTTTTCTGTCTTTTTCCCTTTACCCGGTCCTATCTCGAGCAGAGGATCACTCTGCTCTTTGGTGCTCGGGATTCCCATTCAAGAACCAGTAACTCACCGTCTGATTCACGCGGATCAGAGCCATCGAGTCGATAATAACTGTTCTTCGGTGCAGCTCTGACCCTACAGCAAGATCACGCCGCCGTTAACTAGATAGTTTAGGGGACGAGTTCTCTTAACTCGATCTTATTATTTGATTATTAAGCCCGCTTTTGCGTTGCCGAACTCTTCTTGTATTTGCCATCAGGTGAAGGAAAGAGGAACCCCTTTGCCATAGACCAATTACCTGAGATTGACTAGCATGAGGACAGATAGGCTAAAGAGAGGTTAACCCTAGTTGATTCTGCACTCCCTAAAGAGAACAATCCATTCCTTTAGCATAGCTAACGAATAAGGAAAACTTAACTACGGCGCTCACCGAATGTATCACTCATCCCGCTGGTAAGGAGTCCTCTGTGTGTTATAATCTTTATTGGAATTCATTGATAGTTACTTTGCCAGGTTCTAGGGGGGGGGGCTACTCTTATTTTTTTTCTCGATCGAGCCGCTCTCCCTCATTCCACTCGTCCAGCCCTCTTCACGAACTTGTACAATCGATGCCACAAAAATAGCCAACTCTATTATCAAAGAAATAAGGAAACGGGCGACGATTTGGCACCAGATATCCGGAGGTGTGGAAAGAGCAGCTGTGAGAAGCGGAAAAACCATCAAAAAACGACGATTGTTCGTGAAGGTTTCCAAAGAAAGACCCCTTGGTTCTGGCAAACAGATCACAATTACAGGTACCTGGGAGCATACCGATGGAATGAACGAAATACGAACAGTTAACATAATATGGTCATAGATCTTAGGTTGTAACTTGATCATGAGCGAATTTGTTGATGTTGCACCCACGAAGTATGGAAAGTGCCAAACATTGGGAACGACCCGGGGAGGAGTTAGGAACAGGAACAAGAAGAAGCGAGAACCACTTAAATGGAGGAATCGATTGTATTTCGTCCTTTGTTCTCCATAGCAACTGGGGATCAAAAAGCACCAAATTTGATAACTTATTAAAGGAAAGACGAAATAAGAGCATGCTATTGAAGACGTTGCAACAAATGTCGAAAAGGCCTCCGTTAATTGTGTACAAACAAAATACGAGTCAAAAGGCAGGGTAAGAAAGGGTGACGCTAATGGAGATATTAACTCTTCCGGGAACCAGTAACACGTAAACCATGTCAAACCAAGACCGATCAATATCCGAACGGAACGGATTCGAACTTCTCCTAGAATCGTTTCCGATGCGAAATTAAATTCATAGGATATATATAAGTAATTCAAAGCTAAAAGTGAAGGATTTTATAGGGTTCATGTACCCATGTTCCTAAACGTATATCGGCTAATGGTATGCAATTTCCTATTTGATAATTTATCTCAAGTATTTCGTATCTATAAGCAGGGGGCGTGGCCAAGAAGCCTACACTCCAGCGGACTGCCCCGTTCTTCACACAGTGAATAAGGGCTTAGGATGGTCATTCTGGGCGGATTGCAAGAAGGAGCTGGTCGAAGGTTTGGACCAATCGCAATTCATCACCATTTTGCCTGCTTCTAATTGATGACTGGCTATTATATAAGTGTTGACCTAAGCCCCTGTGCAGGGGCTCGGCTCCCGAACCGTACGTGAGCTGCCTCGTACGGCTCTTCCTAAGAACTTGAAGCCCCCTCTCCCTAAATCAAACTTTTTTTTAAAGCCTTCGCCCTCCTATTCAACGGGGCTATTAGAGAAGCAGCTTCGTTCCTTGACTTCTTTGCTCAGTCAAGCTTCCTTGTTCCTTAGTGTAGTCTCGGTCCATAGTTTAAGACTCCGTTCCTTATAGTATAGTCTATATCCACAGCTGACGGTGACTCCGTACCGACGCCTTTCCCTTTGTAGACGGCTAAGTTACTTCGTCACTTTAACGTACTTTTTTTCTTACTCTATCATAGGCCTTCGTCGGGCTGGCTTTCATCCCAAAGCCTATAGGCTTTGGCTTGGTTTCGATATCGCTCATGACTTGTTATAGAGTCCGTGTAGTGGTCGGCCTTCCCATCAGAAATGGGAAATGATAGAGTGGTCGGCCTTTTGCTTGCCTCCTTCCAGCTCAGAATGCCTAATGCCTATTATAAGTTCTAGAAGCTAACCGCCAGAAGCTCACCCTTCGGGTCTCGCTTCCAGCGCGGGAGGCCAAGCATTCTGCCAGACGTCCCGCCTTGGGAACCCCGTTCGCCTTTGTTCAGTAGATCTTCAAAAAAAGAAAGACTTCAATGCAACCTTAACTACAACTACATTACGCAAGCTCCACCAATACCTACCTATCGAGTCAAAAAAGTACCAGTGACGGTGACTTTCTAGGTTTATGGATTTAGTCAGCGAAAGTCCTCAATCAATATCAACAAGATATCGTGACCGGTGTAGCTAAGTTTCCAAAGGTGAACAGCGCCCCTTATAGTCGTAAAATGCTTCTCTGAAAAGTAAGGAAGGAGGCAAGCAAATGAAGGGAGGCATTACGGGCCGACTACAAGAAGGAAAGCTTCGTAGACTCGACAAACCGCTTCTATAATGCCGACTACTAAGTGAAGACTTTCCCCCTTCCCTTATTAAATAAAGTAAAGGGGAAAGGGAAGCGAAGCTTAGCGAGCTGGCCGATCACTACATAAGCCGCTGGCGGAGAAAGCTCGAGGAGAAATATTCATTCGTTGCTAAGCCAAGGTCCCAGGTCTCCGAGTCAGCCCGCGCTTTTTCGAAGAATCCTGCACCCATGGGCATACGGCCTGGCAGGCCTTCCCTTTCCGTCGGAGCTTCATGGGTGTTGCCCCGTTCCCCAATCAGATATGATATTTGGATGTGAGCTATACTCCGCGAGGAGCCAAACGGGCGTATGGCCTTGCCATTGGACCTCTCTTCCCGTGTGACTAGAAATGTTCAGTGACACCTCTCAATTGTCATTGCCTGGCCTCTCTTGCTACCGCGGTAGCACCTAGTGTGGTCAGCACCAATCGTGTTCGGGCAACGAAGCTTACACTCATTCACATTGGTTCATCCTGCTATGCCCCGGGCCTTTTGCTCTCCGTAAAAAAAAGGTGGCCGACCTTTCGTCAAGGCTCAGGAATCCGCTGGACATCTCAGCGGCGGGATTTTATACCCGCATCTGATCGAAGTTTCATTTTAGTGCCCCCAGATAAAGGAGAGCTCTTTCTAGGTGGGTCGCTTCGCGCAAGACATTGCTTAGGACCAACGGGTCACACGACAGGTGCACGATCGACTTTGCACGCTCCATCCTTCGCCCTCAAACCCCGGAGAGCTTTGAGTTGCTTCGCCCTTTCGCCTATTGGCTTGGCAGGCAAGTTACCTTGATCCGTCTTCGGCTTCGATTTTTATGCCCAGCAGCTCCAACAAGCCCTAAAGTATCTTGCCGCCTAAAACTCTGCCAAGAAAGCCCTGCTTTACCTTTGATCCTATGTGCCCAGAGAATGCTATGCGTTCTCCCCTTTTGGACCTCGCAAAGAGAGAACGTGCTTTTTCCTCTCACTTTCTGTCTCATTCGCGGAGCGAAGAAAGCGGGCTTTGCCCCAGCTACCGCTATCCTTGGGAAACCAAAAGAGCTAGCGAAGGCAAGGGATGCAGTCTCTCTCTTGGCCTTTGGAGAGGAGAAGGCAGAGAAGAAGACGTCCTTCACTAAAGTTTTGTGCTTCCTGCGCCCTTACTAGCAAAGGCGCTCTTAGACGAAGACAAAGGAGGCATTCCGGTAGGAAGGCCGACCACTACATAAGCGGCCATCAGTCCAGGAGAGAAGCAAGCTACCTTTCTTTTATCCACCTTCCCGGGCAGGAAAGAGAACGAAAAGAGGCCGCTGATGGTGTTCGTGGTAGGTTCGAGGATCTTGCGCGGCGGAGCGAACTTCTCGATCGTGTTCATTTTTTCTGGCAGCCCCCTTTGATCCATCGTACTGGAGCGATCTGAGAAGAACGATTAGGGTCATATTCTATACTCTCTACAATGCCCATAGAGGAAGTGCTTCGTTTCAGATCAATTCTTCGCAGCAATCGCTTCGAGCCACCCCCTCGGTGAAAAACCGTAATACGCCCTGAGGAATTCCTACCAGCAGACTTT